CAACACCATAAGGGGCATTTGCAATTTTAGTGCTCCAGTTGTCTCTTTTCCCATGTTTTGCATCAATCACCTTCTTCCAGAGACTTGTCTCACCTGTACCATACCTCCATAGCCACTTCATCAGCATACTTTTGTTGTGGATTGCTAAATCGTTGACCCCCAATCCTCCATTGCTTTTCGGCTGTATGACTATCCCATTTTATCAAATGGAATTTGTGAGAATTGTTATTCCCTTCCCAAAGGAAATCTCTTCTGATTTTATCCAGTTGCTTTAACACCTTTTTAGGGATAGGGAACAAAGACATATAATAGGTAGGTATGATGTCAAGTACACTGCTGATAAGAGTTAATCTACCTCCCATAGATAAATATTGCATTTGCCAAGTGGCCAATCTCTTTATAAATTTTTCTACAACACCATTCCAAATTTCACAATTCTTGAATTTGGCTTCCAATTGGATAGGAAGTGCCCCAATGCTGCAACCCATAGTTCCTGCCAGCTCTTCTATGTTGTTCACATTGTTGACTGGATAAATAGTGCTTTTCAGCTTGTTGATATGTAATCCTGACAAGGCTTCAAAGAGTAGGAGGGTGACATTCAGGTATAGGAGCTTTGCTTTTTCTGCCTCACAAAAAATCAGAGTATCATCAACATATAGTAAATGAGATATAGTAATTGTATTCCCAGCATTGGTGCCAACTCTGAAACCCTGAATCCACCGCATTTGTCTGGCCTTTTCCAACATCTTACTTAGACCTTCCATGGCGAATATGAAATCAAGGAGGAGAGTGAATCACCTTGTCTGATCCCTTTTTGAGGAGAGAAGAAACGCATAGGGGATCTGTTAACTAAAATTGAATATTTAACAGTAGAGATGCAATACCTTATCCACTTTTCACCAAAGCTCATCTTCCTCAAGATAGATATTAGATATGACCAATTCAATTTATCAAAGGCCTTTTCTATATCCAGCTTGCACATAACTCCAGGTTCTCCAGTTTTAATCCTCCAGTCCAAAACCGCATTAGCTATGAGAGTTGCATCCAGTGTTGTGAAGAGCGTGAAGCGAGGAAAAGCGACAAGGCCCTTTTCGCTTAAAGCAAGAAGCGAAGCGCTCGCTTTTTTGAAGTGAAGCGGAATTTTATAAAATAAAATAAAATAAATATTGCATAGACAACACATGTAACTGTAAGCAAATGTTCAATACTTCAATGTAA